CTGAAATACGCAACGTTTATGATAAACGATTTTAAAAGAAATAATTTTTTAAAATAAAAAATTCAATAATTTTTGGCCAAAAAATATTTTTTTTATAATTTGTCGATTAATGAAAACTACAAGAAATATTTTTTAGACAAAAAATTATAGAATTTTTAATTTAAAAAAATTATTTCTTTAAAAATCGTTTATCATAAACTTTGCGTACTTCGGCTTCATAAATATCAAGTGATTTTGAAATAATAATTTTTGGTAATTTTATTTTCTAATTTTTTAAAATTATATACAATTATTAAATTTAGTAAAAAATTTAATTGAAAAATAGTTTAAAATAATTGAATTTTTGAAGAATTTCATTAAAATTATTAAAAATAATTAATTTAGTGAAGAATTTTAGTTAAAAATTTGTTTTTTAAAATGTAAAAAAAGTCGAAAAAGTCGCATTTTATATTCAAATAAGTCGAAAAAAGTTGTAGTTTTTGAAAAAAAGTCGTATAATACGAGGCCTGAAATTTTGAGAATTAAACATTTTTATGTTACTTAACTAAAAAAAAGTTTGTTAGATTCAAGAAAAAAATATTTTATCTTAAAATCCGAGAAGAGTCTGAAAAAATTAAATTTTTTTTTTTGTGAGTGAGAATCGCTCGTATTTCCCAAATGGTCAAATCGTTGAATAGAAAAATGTAGGACCGACAAAATTACGAAAAGCAAAAACGTTGAAAGTACAAAACGTCGAATATCCAAATCATCGAATGGTCAAAGTGACAAAAATTTTTTTTAAGTGACTTAACTCGCTATGTAGGATGACAATAAAATGGGTTTAAACTAAGCATGAAAATTAAAAACAAAAAACTATTTCAAATATTCAAGCCGCAGTTTAAACACATTTTTTGAAATCTAACATAGAGATTTAACTCACCACCAAAAGAAAGTTTCGACGTTTTATCTATTCAATTTTTTGGCGGTTTAAAGTTTTGTACGTTCAGAGAAAGTTACATAATTTAATCCTGTTGTTAAAGAGAAGTGTATTAAAATTTTTTATATTTTTAAAAATAAATAACTTTTGGATGAAAAGTCAATTAAAATACAAAGCTAAAGTACGCAACGTTTTACAGGCCCTCGAACTGCATTCAGCACTAAAATTTAGGTACTTTACGGACCAAAAAATAATAAATTGGGGACCAATTTACGGATTAAGATTTTTTGTATTTTCATTTAAGTTTTTTGATTTTTATATAAAAATTGAATGATACAGTTTTAAACAATGACATAAATTTGAATTCAAATATTTGTATTAGTTTAGAATTTTTTTATATAAATTAAATAAAAATTTTTATATGAAAATTACATATAGAGCATTCCACAGGAAATTTTTATACAAAATTTTTTTTGCTCGAAACATTTTTTTCAAAATTTATATGGAAAATAAGGAAATACGTATTTTATTATTTTTTTATTTGATAAAAATGAAAATTTGTGCTCAAAAATAACAGACCTATAACGGTAGCAACAGAAAAGTTGAAATTAAATTTAAAAATTGAGTTTTCACAAAGATGGACACTTTCGATTTTTAATTTGTTTTCCCACTACAATCTCTGATGACTGAAGAATTTTTTGCACTATTTGCAAAAGTCGTGCTTTTAGTTTTTAAATTTCTATTTGCAATATTTAAGCTAGACGCAAAGATTCATAGTATGTTTTTTTGAAAATTTTAAAAAACAAATGAATGATAATGGAAAAGGTCAGCTTAAAATTCTGTGTGCCTTACTAAGAAAACTAAAAATAGTAATTTAAAAACTAAAAATACCACTTTTGCAAATAGGGGAAAAAATTCTTCAATCATCAGAGATTGCAGTGCAAAAGAAAAAAAATTATTTGAAAAATTTGAGAAAAAGTGGACAATTTTCATATACAGCATAATTTTTTATTCATTTTTCATTTGTCAATGAGAAAATCCTGTTTGAACATTTAAAATCAATTTTTTTTTTGAATTTACCTCTCATTAAGTCAGTAAGTCCAAAACGATAACCTTTCCCTAAGGTACCTAGTAAAGAAAAGTAAAAAAAAGAATTTTTTTATAACAGAAAATCGCTTCAAATTTTTAAAGGGTCAAAATGTTGAATTGTAAAATGTTGAACCGATAAATTAACAAAAATGCAAAAATTTCGAAAAGTAAATCGCAGAAAATGCAAGACGTTGAACAAACAAAATGTCGAATAGACAAATCGCCGGATAGACAAAATGTCAAAAATTTTGTTTGAATTAACTTAATTCTCAATGAAGAATATCAATAAAATAAATTTAAACTGATCAATAAAAGCAAAATCTTCGAACAACAAAAACGTTAAAAGAACAACATGTTTTTAAGTGACTTAACTCACTATTTAGGATACCAATAAAATGGGTTTAAACTATAAGTGTGAAAATTAAAAAAACAAATTTAATAATTAGTTAATAAATACTTTACTTTAAATAACGAATGTTATTTAGATATTAAATTGATTGTATTAATTCGTTAATAAGAACATTATAAAGAAAAATTTTTTTGAAATGTTTCAAAATCCAACTAAGAAAAATTTTCAAAAATTTAATTAAGTAAGACAAATTTCTAAAAATAATTTAAGTTCTATTTTCAAATTTTTTGAAGTCTAATTTAAGTAATTTATTTAATACTAGCAAAATTAAACGCGCGCAAGCGCGTCAAATTGAGTGTTTAATTGTTTGTTATAAAGAAATCAAAGATTAATATTACATTTATTAATATATCAATAAAATGCGACATTTTTTTTACATATGACAAAAAATGTAAATAAAATGTACATTTTTTTAGTATAAAATGTAGATCTTCTTCAGATCTTCTTCAATTCAATTATTTAACAAATTTTGAACTAAAATGATTCTTCACTAAATTAATTATTTTTAATAATTTTAATGAAATACATCACAAATTCAATTATATCAAAATTATTTTTCAATTAAAATTTTTATGAAATTTAACAATTGTTTATAATTTAAACAAAAAATATCAAAATAAAATTGAATTATTTTTTAAAAATTTCAATTCAAAATAAACTAAAATTCAATTATTACCCGAAATTTTAATTCAAAATCAATTAAAAATCCAATAATTATCCAAAATTTTCAATTTAAAATTTAATTATTTACCAAGTTTTCAATTTAAAATGAAATAAAATTCAATTATTTTCTAAAATTTCTATTCAAAATTAATTATCCAAATTTTCAATCAAAAATGAACTTAATTAAATTATTATCCAAAATTTCAATTAAAATTCAATTATTTCCCAAAATTTTCAATTCAAAATGAACTGAAATTCAATTATTTTCTAAATTTAAAATCAAATAAAATTTCATTATTCTCAAAAATTTGAATTCAAAATTAATTTAATTTTCAATAATTTGAATTTAAAAGCATCTAAAATTTAATTATTTCTAAAATTGTCCATCGAAAATTTTTTTTTTGAATTTAATAATTTCAATTATAACTCTAAGGAAATTCAATTATTTTTAACTATTTTAATAATATTCGTTGAAAATTCAACTATCTGAAACCATTTTTCAATTAAAAATGATTTTCAAATTATTGTATTTTGTCCGCATTTTCTAATAAATTTTTAGTGAAATCATCTAAAATTTTAATTAAAAATCACTTAAAGTTTCAATTTATTTCAAAAATCTCAATTTTAAATCATTGAAAATTCAATTAAATTTAAAAAATGTTTTCCAAAAATTGTTTGATAAATTATTTTTAGTTCTGTAAAATTTAATGATTGTTTGAAAATTAACAATATCTTTTGAAATTTAATTATTTCTAAAAATTTCAACTTTAACCCTTCGAAAAGGATTATTATTAAAAAAAAATTTTATTTAAAAATCTGTAAAATATTTTTGTTAAAATAAAAAACAAATCCACTTTTTTTTGGAATATAAATCGACTAAAACGACTTTTTGTGTCTTTAAGTTGATTCGAGGCCTGTGTTTTTATAATTAATATTTAATAGGTATTTAATGGGTGTTTAAAAAAACACGTGAAATCAGAAAAGGCCAATTTCAAGTCAGGACAGAAGGACAGACCAAGCATTTTATTATTATATAATTTATTTTATTCAAATAATCAGTCACTTGTTGACTATCCTAGGCCTGTAACGATACTGAAGTTCGCAACGTTTATGATAAACGATTTATTAAAATTAATTTTTTACAATAAAAAATTCTATAATCTATCGTGTGAAAAATTTTTCTTGTAGTTTTTATTAATCAACAAATTATAAAAAAATATTTCTGTAGGTAAACAATTTAATAATTTTTCGTTCATCATAAACGTTAAGTACTTCAGCATCGTGGCATGTACAATGTACATAGATGGAGTTAAGTCACTTGAAATATAACATACCTTTGAAGCAATTGACCAATAACCGGAACATGGTGATTCGCTAATGCATAACTTAACAAATTCTTCAATTTTTGCTTTAGATGGCATCGTGACACCACAGAGATGATCGGCCAAAGGCCGACCATCAACTATTTGGGTGAATTGAAATGTACTTAATTTATTTAAGTCACAAAAATAATAAAAAAAACTTAGTCAAATAAATAAATAAAAAGAACAAAATTTAAAGAGAAAGAATAGGACGATGAATTTTTTTCTCCGCATACGCTGTTGACAGCTTGATGAAATGGAGGTTAATGAGAAGTAAAGCGCTGTTGCCGCTTCTGCGCAGTCCTCCATTCCCATGCACGCGTAAATGTGGCGCGTTTAATGTGATCGATTTAAATCGACCCCGCTCAATATATTAAAATTTTTAAAAATAATTGAATTTTTGATGAGTTAAGGTTTGTTATATTTCAGACAATAAATAAATTTCACATAATTAAAATTTCAAAGAATATTATAAAAATCATTAAAAGTAAATTGAATTTCGGGAATAATAATAAATAAATTATATCATAATTGATGACCAAATTTTTTTTTATTTTTATACAAATTAAGGAAAATCATTACATTTTTCTGAACTTATAATTTAAATTATTAAATAATAATTTTTAAAAGATATTATAAAATGAAAATTATTAAATGATAATTGTTAAATGACTAATTGTCTTATGTTAATGAACTTTTAAATTTAATTTTAAAGTTCCAAGTTTCACCTGAAAAAAATTAATATTATTTTATTATATAATAATTGATTAAAAACATAAGTAATTTATTTTAAAACATTTCTTAAAGCTTATACAGGGTATCTCATTTTAATTTCTAGAATTTCTACAATTTTTTAATGCTTTTCTTACAATAAAAGTTTTATAACGTGTTTTTTTCAATTCTAAATCAGAAAGTCCCCTTAATTAATGAATAATAATTAAGTTTTACAAATTTTTAAATAAAATTTTTTTTCAAGTAATAATAATTTTTGAAGAGTTAAAGTTGAAATTTTTAGAAATAATTGAATTTCAAAAGATTTTGTTAATTTGCAAACAATAATTCAATTTTATAAAACTAAAAATAATTAAATTTGTCAAATTAATTTAGATAACATTTTTTAAAAGTAATTGATTTTTCAAAGATTCACAATTTCGATTTTTAAAATTAATTAAACATCAAGTGATATTTAATTGAAAATGTTTGATGATTTCTATTACTAAAAAATTTATTAGAAATTGCAGAGAAAAATACAATATTCTGAAAACTTTTTACGTCGGTGAAGTTCACAACGTTTATGATCAACGATTGAAAAAGAATATTTTTTATTCAAAAAATAATATCTAATTTTTTTCCTACAAACATTTCTTGCATAAATTATTGATTAAGGAATGTTGCAAAAAATTTTGTAGATCAAAAATAATAATAATAATTTGTATAGAAAAATATTTTTTCTTCTCGATCGTTGATCATAAACGATGTAAACTTCACCGACATATCTCTTGAAGCAAGAAATGGTTTTAGATGGTTGCATTTTCGAAGAATATTATAAAAATCATTAAAAAATAATTGAAATTCTTGCAAATAATTAAAATTTGTGAAGCTGAAGTACGCAACGTTTATGATAAACGATTTTAAAAGAAATAATTTTTTAAAATAAAAAATTCAATAATTTTTGACCAAAAAATATTTTTTTTATAATTTGTCGATTAATGAAAACTACAAGAAATATTTTTTAGACAAAAAATTATAGAATTTTTAATTTAAAAAAATTATTTCTTTAAAAATCGTTTATCATAAACTTTGCGTACTTCGGCTTCATAAATATCAAGTGATTTTGAAATAATAATTTTTGGTAATTTTATTTTCTAATTTTTTTAAAATTATATACAATTATTAAATTTAGTAAAAAATTTAATTGAAAAATAGTTTAAGATAATTGAATTTTTGAAGAATTTCATTAAAATTATTAAAAATAATTAATTTAGTGAAGAATTTTAGTTAAAAATTTGTTAAATAATTGAATTAAAGAAGATCTGCATTGTTTACTTAAAAAACGTATTTTGTTAAAAATTTGTTTTTTAAAATGTAAAAAAAGTCGCATTTTATTCAAATAAGTCGAAAAATTTTTAATTATACTTACATATAATGCCGTCACATTGACGCATTTAATGTTTCGATTTCAAGTTTTATTTTCCTTATTTCGGCATCAGCCGAATTTCTGATTTTTATTTGCTGTTGACAATTTGAGCAATCTCGCAGAGTGGAGATTGCTGAATTTTTTTGTCTATATAGATTTTCTTTTTTTTCGAACAGTTTGTTGAGTTGTTCTAATTTTTCGTATCCTAAAAATAATATTTTATTATTATCAACGAGTGGAAATAAAAAATATTTTTTGATCGAAAAGTGATAATTACACAGAAAATTATAAGGTATCAAAATAAGCTGCAACGCTTATTATTTTAATCCAATTTTTCTTATTTTAATACCAAAATGGATTAAAATAAGCAAAATTGGATTAAAATAATAAGCTTTGCAGCTTATTTTAATGCATTTTAATTTTCTGTGTACACAGGCACACAAAAAAATGTTTTATGCAATTCGTTATGAAGCAATTCTGACTTCATATTCTTTTTTAAAGCGCCAAAATACTATAGAAAAGGTATGTCTACTTCAAGAAACAGACAAATTTTTTTGTGTACCTGTGTTAAGTATTACCTAATATAATATAATAATTATAATATAATATTAAATAAGAAATTATTAAAGAATAATTCTACAGGAATATTATGAAGAAAATTTAAGACAAATTTAAAAAAAAAATTTTAATATTCTATTTAAAAATTTATTTAGTTTGATTTATGAAAATAATTATTAGTTTTAATGGTAAAAAATGTCGAAAAATAATTAAGTTTAAATTTTTTTAAATAATTTAATTTTTAAAGTATTATTAAAATTATCTTAAATAATTATTGAATTTTTAAAGAAATATTAAAATGATTAAAAATAATAATTGGATTTTGGAAGAGTTATAGTTGAAAATTTTAAATATAATGTAGATAACGTTTTTTAAAAATATTTAAATTGAAAATAGAAAATTCGCTTTTACCTTTTTTTTTTTTCTGATTTTGATTTTCCTTTTGAACTTGTGTTTTTTTTAATTTATCCGCATACTTTTCAGCGTCCTCATCACTTTTCCTCTTTACAATTTTTTTTTTTTCTTCTCTTCATATTTTTTTTTTTTTTCTTCTGCTTTCATCTCTAAATATTTTCTACAGTGCTCCTCCTCACTACTTTGTAACGAATTTTCGCTTAGATCATCCTAAAAAATTTTATTGTAAGATGAGCCAAAAGTTTTGAACGTTCAAATGAACGAAATATTTTTTGGAACTTCTTTAAGTACGAATTTTATTACAAAATATTGTTTTAAATATCAAAAAAGAATTTTTTTATTTAATAATTGTTAAATTTACTGTTTTATTTTACATTGACATCATAATTTTTAATAATTTATAGATTGAAAAAAATATTTCGTTCATTTGAACTTTCAAAACTTTTGGCTCATATTGTAAGTATTTAATTTTTTTTGATCAGGGAAAAAAAGGTTTTTAATAAAATATTAATGAAAGTTAAAAAATCAAAAATTCACATTTTAGCTAAAAAATTTTGTATTTATTTAAATTCAAGTTTTAATATAAAATAATTGTGTTCCTTGTATTGAAACGAATCGATATAATTGTAAATAATTATAAATTATATATTATTTTTCATTAATTTTTAGAAATTTCAGCTAAAATGTGAATTTTTGATTTTTTAACTTCCATTAATTTTTTAAATTTAACTCAAATGTATAGGTACTCAAATGTTTATATTATTATATTATTTTTGTATGTTTATTTCAATGTTAATGCCTTCTCCACAAGGAAGCAAATTTTTTTGCTAATCGTAAAAGAGGAAGCAAAATGTTCATGTAATGAACATCTGAATTTACAACTTGTTTTAAATATCTTGGACGATTTATATATTTTTAATACATATTATATTACATGAATAATTAATTAATAATTATTACTGTAGTATAATTTACAATATAATATTTTTAAATGAAAAGGAATTTTAAGCTGCCAGATTAAAAGTAGATACAAAACCTTGACTTTGACGATTTATACTTTTATTTTTATTTTGACAATATTTCGTTTTATCAAATAAAAGCATTAATCGCCAAAGTCAAGGTTTTGAATATAATATATTTCAGCTGGCAGTTATTACTGAAAATATATCAAATTTCTAAAATTCCTACTTTAATTATAATTTTTGAAGTATTAAATTCTTTTTTTTTGCTTCTAAAAATTATTGTTTTACATTTTTATAAATTATAGGCCTCTGAGCAACTTTTGAAAAAACAAAAATTATTTTATTCTTTTTATATTACAAAAGAACTTAAAAATTTAATTTTTTTTATTTGTATTCTATTTAATTAGTTATTTTGTTTTTTATTATATATAATACTTTATGATAGTAAATTCAAAAAAATATATGAATTTCTTAATCAGAATATTTCAAATAAATATTTTTAAGGTTTAAGGTTTTTTCTGCTTAATCTACTGAATTAAATTGTGACAAATTAAAAAAAATATTAATTCAGTTTTAAAATAAACTTTTATAAATAATTTAATGTTATATTTAAAAGAAAAAAAAATCTTCAATTCTGATTTCTGCACATTATTCGAATTTCGAATTTGGGACAAAGATTTGGGTAATTCAATTTTTTCAAAAATTTTAATAAAATATTTTTAAAAAAATTAATTATTTTTAATAATTTTAATGAAATTCATCACAAATTCAATTATTTTCCAAATTTTCAATTCAACATTAATTATTATCAAAATTTTCAATCAAAAATCAATTAAAATTAAATTATTATCCAAAATTTTAATTAAAATTTAATTATTTCCCAAAATAATTGGAAAAATTCAATTATTTTCAAAATTTTAAATTCAAAATCAACTAGAATTCAATTATTTTCCAAAATTCCAATTTAAAATCAAATATAATTCAATTATTTTTAAAAATTTCAATTCAAAATTAATTATTATCAAAATTTTCAATCAAAAACCAACTAAAATTGAATTATTATCCAAAATTTCAATTAAAATTAAATTATTTTCAAAATTTTAAATTCAAAATCAACTAAAATCAATTATTTTTAAAAATTTCAATTCAAAATTAATTATTATCAAAATTTCAATTAAAATTCAATTATTTCCCAAAATAATTGGAAAAATTCAATTATTTTCAAAATTTTAAATTCAAAATCAACTAGAATTCAATTATTTTCCAAAATTCCAATTTAAAATCAAATATAATTCAATTATTTTTAAAAATTTCAATTCAAAATTAATTATTATCAAAATTTTCAATCAAAAACCAACTAAAATTGAATTATTATCCAAAATTTCAATTAAAATTAAATTATTTTCAAAATTTTAAATTCAAAATCAACTAAAATCAATTATTTTTAAAAATTTCAATTCAAAATTAATTATTATCAAAATTTCAATTAAAATTCAATTATTTCCCAAAATAATTGGAAAAATTCAATTATTTTCAAAATTTTAAATTCAAAATCAACTAGAATTCAATTATTTTCCAAAATTCCAATTTAAAATCAAATATAATTCAATTATTTTTAAAAATTTCAATCCAAAATTAATTATTATCAAAATTTTCAATCAAAAACCAACTAAAATTGAATTATTATCCAAAATTTCAATTAAAATTAAATTATTTTCAAAATTTTAAATTCAAAATCAACTAAAATCAATTATTTTTAAAAATTTCAATTCAAAATTAATTATTATCAAATTTTCAATCAAAAACCAACTAAAATTGAATTATTATCCACAATTTCAATTATTTTCAAAAATTTGAATTTAAAAGCTTCTAAAATTTAATTTTTTTTTAATTTTTTGAAATTTTATAATTTCAATTATAACTCTAAGGAAATTTAATTATCTAAAAGCATTTTTTAATTAAAAATGGTTTTCAAATTATTGTATTTTTGTCCGTAATTTTTAATAAATTTTTTATTGAAATCATCCAAAAATTTTTAATTAAAAATCACTTGAAGTTCAATTAATTTCAAAAATCTCAATTGTAAATCTTTGAATATTTAATTACATTTAAAAAATGTTATCTAAAATTATTTGCTAAATTATTTTTAGTTCTGTAAAATTTAATTATTGTCTGAAAATTAACAAAATCTTTTGAAATTAAATTATTTCTAAAAATATCAACTTTAACCCTTCCAAAAGTATTATTATTTAAAAAAAAAATTTATTTAAAAATCTGTAAAATATTTTAGTTAAAATAAAAAAAATCGACTTTTTCGACTTTTTTTTGAATATAAATCGACTAAAACGACTTTTTTTGTGCCTTTAAGTCGATCCGAGGCCTGTTATTACTGAAATTATATCAAATTTCTAAAAGTCCTACTTTAATTATAATTTTTGAAGTATTCAATTCTTTTTGTTTGCTTCTAAAAATTATTGTTTTACATTTTTATAAATTATAGGCCTCTGAGCAACTTTTGAAAAAACAAAAATTATTTTATTCTTTTTATATTACAAAAGAACTTAAAAATTTAAATTTTTTTATTTGTATTCTATTTAATTAGTTATTTTGTTTTTTATTATATATAATACTTTATGATAGTAAATTCAAAAAAATAAATGAATTTCTTAATCAGAATATTTCAAATAAATATTTTTAAGGTTTAAGGTTTTTTCTGCTTAATCTACTGAATTAAATTGTGACAAATTAAAAAAAATATTAATTCAGTTTTAAAATAAACTTTTATAAATAATTTAATGTTATATTTAAAAGAAAAAAAAATCTTCAATTCTGATTTCTGCACATTATTCGAATTCGAATTTGGGACAAAGATTTGGGTAATTCAATTTTTTCAAAAATTTTAATAAAATATTTTTAAAAAAATTAATTATTTTTAATAATTTTAATGAAATTCATCACAAATTCAATTATTTTCCAAATTTTCAATTCAACATTAATTATTATCAAAATTTTCAATCAAAAATCAATTAAAATTAAATTATTATCCAAAATTTTAATTAAAATTTAATTATTTCCCAAAATAATTGGAAAAATTCAATTATTTTCAAAATTTTAAATTCAAAATCAACTAGAATTCAATTATTTTCCAAAATTCCAATTTAAAATCAAATATAATTCAATTATTTTTAAAAATTTCAATTCAAAATTAATTATTATCAAAATTTTCAATCAAAAACCAACTAAAATTGAATTATTATCCAAAATTTCAATTAAAATTAAATTATTTTCAAAATTTTAAATTCAAAATCAACTAAAATCAATTATTTTTAAAAATTTCAATTCAAAATTAATTATTATCAAAATTTCAATTAAAATTCAATTATTTCCCAAAATAATTGGAAAAATTCAATTATTTTCAAAATTTTAAATTCAAAATCAACTAGAATTCAATTATTTTCCAAAATTCCAATTTAAAATCAAATATAATTCAATTATTTTTAAAAATTTCAATCCAAAATTAATTATTATCAAAATTTTCAATCAAAAACCAACTAAAATTGAATTATTATCCAAAATTTCAATTAAAATTAAATTATTTTCAAAATTTTAAATTCAAAATCAACTAAAATCAATTATTTTTAAAAATTTCAATTCAAAATTAATTATTATCAAATTTTCAATCAAAAACCAACTAAAATTGAATTATTATCCACAATTTCAATTATTTTCAAAAATTTGAATTTAAAAGCTTCTAAAATTTAATTTTTTTTTAATTTTTTGAAATTTTATAATTTCAATTATAACTCTAAGGAAATTTAATTATCTAAAAGCATTTTTTAATTAAAAATGGTTTTCAAATTATTGTATTTTTGTCCGTAATTTTTAATAAATTTTTTATTGAAATCATCCAAAAATTTTTAATTAAAAATCACTTGAAGTTCAATTAATTTCAAAAATCTCAATTGTAAATCTTTGAATATTTAATTACATTTAAAAAATGTTATCTAAAATTATTTGCTAAATTATTTTTAGTTCTGTAAAATTTAATTATTGTCTGAAAATTAACAAAATCTTTTGAAATTAAATTATTTCTAAAAATATCAACTTTAACCCTTCCAAAAGTATTATTATTTAAAAAAAAAATTTATTTAAAAATCTGTAAAATATTTTAGTTAAAATAAAAAAAATCGACTTTTTCGACTTTTTTTTGAATATAAATCGACTAAAACGACTTTTTTTGTGCCTTTAAGTCGATCCGAGGCCTGTTATTACTGAAATTATATCAAATTTCTAAAAGTCCTACTTTAATTATAATTTTTGAAGTATTCAATTCTTTTTGTTTGCTTCTAAAAATTATTGTTTTACATTTTTATAAATTATAGGCCTCTGAGCAACTTTTGAAAAAACAAAAATTATTTTATTCTTTTTATATTACAAAAGAACTTAAAAATTTAAATTTTTTTATTTGTATTCTATTTAATTAGTTATTTTGTTTTTTATTATATATAATACTTTATGATAGTAAATTCAAAAAAATATATGAATTTCTTAATCAGAATATTTCAAATAAATATTTTTAAGGTTTAAGGTTTTTTCTGCTTAATCTACTGAATTAAATTGTGACAAATTAAAAAAAATATTAATTCAGTTTTAAAATAAACTTTTATAAATAATTTAATGTTATATTTAAAAGAAAAAAAAATCTTCAATTCTGATTTCTGCACATTATTCGAATTCGAATTTGGGACAAAGATTTGGGTAATTCAATTTTTTCAAAAATTTTAATAAAATATTTTTTAAAAAAATTAAATTTAAATATTTTTTATATTATAAAAATATTTTTTCCATATTTATATAGTTATATTTTTTTAAATATCTTGGACGATTTATATATTTTTAATATATATTATATTACATGAATAATTAATTAATAATTATTACTGTAGTATAATTTACAATATAATATTTTTAAATGAAAAGGAATTTTAAGCTGCCAGATTAAAAGTAGATACAAAACCTTGACTTTGACGATTTATACTTTTATTTTTATTTTGACAATATTTCGTTTTATCAAATAAAAGCATTAATCGCCAAAGTCAAGGTTTTGAATATAATATATTTCAGCTGGCAGTTATTATTGAAAATATATCAAATTTCTAAAATTCCTACTTTAATTATAATTTTTGAAGTATTAAATTCTTTTTTTTTGCTTCTAAAAATTATTGTTTTACATTTTTATAAATTATAGGCCTCTGAGCAACTTTTGAAAAAACAAAAATTATTTTATTCTTTTTATATTACAAAAGAACTTAAAAATTTAATTTTTTTTATTTGTATTCTATTTAATTAGTTATTTTGTTTTTTATTATATATAATACTTTATGATAGTAAATTTAAAAAAATATATGAATTTCTTAATCAGAATATTTCAAATAAATATTTTTAAGGTTTAAGGTTTTTTCTGCTTAATCTACTGAATTAAATTGTGACAAATTAAAAAAAATATTAATTCAGTTTTAAAATAAACTTTTATAAATAATTTAATGTTATATTTAAAAGAAAAAAAAATCTTCAATTCTGATTTCTGCACATTATTCGAATTTCGAATTTGGGACAAAGATTTGGGTAATTCAATTTTTTCAAAAATTTTAATAAAATATTTTTAAAAAAAATTAAATTTAAATATTTTTTATATTATAAAAATATTTTTTTTTACTATTAAAAACTTATCAAGTTAAATTTTTTAAAAATCAAAAATATTTAAAAAATAATTAATATATAATTAATATAATTAAAATTTTTAATATTTATATTTAAAAGTAAAAATTAAAATACTTACATATACTTCTTGGTTCTTCTCCTCCATTTTTATAATAAATTTGGTCACTCAAACTGCTTGCTTTGAGAAGGTTTACACTACTGAAGCCTTTAATATATTCAAGGCTTTAATATATAAGGCAGAAAATGAATATAATAAGCATGCGCTGCTTAACGATAGAAATTTCTGGAAATTGCTAATACAAAATTTCGCGCTTTTTTCCTTACGCTTAGAATATGTGTATATACGTATACTGCCGTGTTTTCTAAAAACTTAGGTTACTGCAAAAAAATCGAAAAATGAGTTTTTTATATCGTTGGAATCGTGGAAAAAAGATACACCTGTTAATGCAAATTATTTTTAAAAATTGTTAATATTATTAATAATAATTTTTGCATAAATAATTGAAAATACCGGTAACTGCAAAAATTGATGAGTGATAATTTGAGAAACTTAGGTAACTGCTATAAAAACTTGGGTGTCTTTGGGTGTTGTGACGTATTTTGTAGGTCGTGATTTGAAGAACTTAGGTAACTGCACCAGTGCCTAAGTTTCTCAAAACACGGACCTCATTTTTCGAGTCCTCGTCGCATGGAAAACTTAGGTAACTACAGAGTGCTATCAGAGCACTGTAGTTACCTAAGTTTTCTATGCGACGAGGCCTCGAAAAAGGAGGTCCGTGTTTTGAAGGACCAAGTAACTGCAAAATCTTATACATTTCTTTAAAATTACAATGTTTTTTGTGCAATTAATAATTTATAATGACAATAAATAATGAAATAAAAAACTCCAATACTATATATATATATAATTATACCTAAATAATAATTTATCAATTATTGAAAAATTAAGTATTAATTTTAATAAATAATATAAAAGCATTAATAAATTAAGAAAATGAAGTTCAGTAATATGTTTATTTCATGATTAATATATAATTAATTTAGTTCAATTATTTAAAAAATTAAAATCGTTTTTAATTATTTAAATAAACGTTAATAAAGCAGCGAACTACATTACCTACAATAATTTGACTTTAATATTGTATAATTAAAATAAATTCAATCATATAGTTTAATATTTGTAAAAAACAATAATTATAATGATAACTTTCGCATCTTATTAAATAATTACACTTTATTATTTATTATTTTTTTTTATTTATTTTTATTTTATTTCATATAATTATTTAATATATTTTTACTATTTTTTAATTTAATTTAATTTATTTTTTTAATTTTATTTATGTATTTTATTTTATTTTATATTATTATTTAATATATTCTGAGTTAATACAATATTTGACTCTAATATTGTATAATTAAAATAAATTTAACCATAAAATTAAATATTTGTAAAAAACAATAATTATAGTGACAACTTTCGCAGCTTATTAAATAATTATAGTTTATTATTTAATATATTTTTACTATTTTTTGCCCAGAAAGATGAAAATTCTTATATATTCCCTGCAGTTACCTAAGTTTTCTGTGCGACGAGAGGCCTAATACGGGCGCTCGTAGCACGAGGGACCAAGTAACTACCAGTTACCTAAGTTTCTCGTGCAACGACCCTCGAATCAGCATACCGGTAACTACATTTTTAATAATTTATTGAATGTTTAAACAAATACAACATTTATTTTTACATAATTAAAAAGAATAAATTTAGACGAATCGAAGGAACAAAACGGCATTTAAAAATTTTAATTAGGCTTTGCGGTACATATCAATGAAGTTTAAACAGTTTTTCGCGTTTTTCTCGAAATCTTTCATTCTGCAGTTACCTAAGTTTTTAGAAAACACGGCAGTATACGTAAAGCTTGATTATTATTTCTTCTGTGGGCTCGCGGGAAAATAGGCATATACAAAAATCTCTAAATAAGAATTAGTGAATTGTGAGCTACTAATTTAAATTAGAAAAAATTTCCACAAATTTTTAGTCACTTTTTACTAAAACTTTAGTCAAAAAATTGAAAATTACTAAATCAAATAGTAATATTTTACTAAAAATTAGAAAAAATTATTACTAATGTGAATTAGTAGCTCAATTTTTACTAACTCAAATTTGGCGAGAATATTTAAAGTACATAACATGCATTCTTAATAAACAATGTTTTATTAATAATTATTTTTATTTAATTGAACATTCAACATTTATGACAAAATGCGACAAAACGATATTTTGATAACAGAAATACTAAACTTTGAAAAAAATTCTATGCAATTTAATAAAGTTATTTCAAATATCAAATACGTTCAATAAATTTTAATATACTGAAAAAAATAAGTATTGATTAAAATAACTTAAATTATTTGAATCGCATTCACTTGAACCAAATAAATCGTTTTTGGTTCAATTAAATAATTAATTAAATTGAATAAATGAATTTATTTAATACAAATAGTGAATTACATTATCATTTATTTAATCAAATATTTCGTTTATTTGATACAAATAAAAAGTATTTCACACAATAAATTTATGTTGTTGATTTAAATAAACTGAATTATTTAATACAAATAATTCGTTATTTAATGCGAATACATTATTTTATTTCTCAGGTTTGCGTTTAATAATTCATTCTATGTTTGAATTAGTTGAAAAATGAAAATGATATAATTGGATCAAATACTTTTTAATTGATCCAAATATTTTTTTTCAGTGTATAACTTTACCTCTAAATTTCATGTAAGTTTTTTTTAAGTTTAGAATTTCTGATATCAAAATTTCTATTTTTCGCATTTTTTTTATATTTTATATTTTTGAATTTAAATCATGATTTAAATATAATCATTGAAAAAAAAATTTTTTTAGAGAGAGAGAGAGAGAGAAAGAGAGAGAGAGAGAGAGAGAGAAAGACAGAGAGAGAGAGAGAGAGAGAGAGAGAGAGAGAGAGAGAGAGAGAGAGAGAGAGAGAGAGAGAGTGAAGTTTTCAAACAGTTGTCGACTTTCAAGGGGAACTAACATAACGAGAGGGGCGGAGGGACTAGTGCCAAGCGTAAAGCCGGACCTGCGTTGAACGCAGCCGAACATCAACGCTCGGCTCTATCCCTGCCATTCTCGCTGCTAGACTATAGCCAGATTTAAATAGGAATTTTTAGAGCATACTTGATACAATGTATACTAAGAAAGTATGCATGATCCAAGTTTTTCCGTGCGACAAAAGGACACTACATATATCCCGAATATAAACTTCAACGAAAATACGCAAATAACCTCAATTCCACAAATGGCAGAATACTAATTAATATTTTAAAAAACAAAAGAATCTTCAAAAACAGCATTGCATATGTCATATAGGCGATAGTGGGGCAAAACCGGGTACCCCCAGTTTTCCATGATAAACATTTCCATTTGTGTCACCCATTACATATATCTTTTATATTACAACCAACATCATTTAAATTATATAACCACTATATAAAACTTTATTTAGTATATTTTACGCGACTTTTAAATTTTAGGTCAAAAGAAAATCCATTTTTAATCGAAAGTAAATCACTTAAAAAAACTTTTTGTGCAGATATATTCGTTTCGACAAGTATAACATAATTTTCAGCATTTATTTACGAGTAATTTTCATTAAAAATAATTGTTAAATTATTAACAATAAGCTGAGAATTTTACATTTTGTTAAAAAATGCAGTACGGGGCTAAACCGGGTACCAAACGGTGGGGCAAAATCGGATATATTTAAATGCATTACACTATGCATATTTAATTTCTATCTCAAAAGAATCGACATGTATGTTACGAAATCGACGTTTAAGTTTCGACATATTAAATATTTACAATAACGATAAATAAACAATAAAAAATTTAAAAAAATATCAAAAATTTTGTTTTAAAATATTTAACTGCTGTTATTCATTATTAATATAATATAATTATTTAGATTAAATTTATTTAATGACCAATAAATGGTTCCGCATCCAATATATTGACCAATTTGAGGCCTTCTACGGGATATATGCGTTAGGGGTGGTTTTAGAGGTTCGAACGCGTTATACCGAATATGGATTTTGAAAGGGGATAATAAAAGAAAATTTTTAAAAATATTTTTAGGAAAAAAGGCGAACAGGAAAGTCGTGAATTTGACCAATATACGTTCCCGCAAGCGATATATGTGTTAGGGATGGTTTTAGGGGTTCGAGCGCGTTATACCGAATATGGATTTTGGAAGAGGATAATAAAAGAGAATTTTTAAAAATATTTTTAGGAAAAAAGGCGAACAGGAAAGTCGTGAAATTGACCAATTTGAGGCCTCCTATGGGATATATGTGTTAGGGGTGGTTTTAGGGGTTCGAGCGCGTTATACCGAATATGAATTTTCGAAGGGGATAATAAAAGAAAATTTTTAAAAATATTTTTAGGAAAATAGGCGAACAGGAAAGTCGTGAAATTGACCAATTTGAGGCCTTCTATGGGATATATGTGTTAGGGGTGGTTTTAGGGGTTCGAGCGCGTTATACCGAATATGGATTTTGAAAGGGGATAATAAAAGAAAATTTTTAAAAATATTTTTAGGAAAAAAGGCGAACAGGAAAGTCGTGAAATTGACCAATTTGAGGCCTTCTATGGGATATATGTGTTAGGGGTGGTTTTAGGGGTTCGAGCGCGTTATACCGAATATGGATTTTGGAAGGGGATAATAAAAGAGAATTTTTAAAAATATTTTCAGGAAAAAAGGCGAACAGGAAAGTCGTGAATTCGACCAATATACGGTCCGGCAAGCGATATATGTGTTAGGGGTGGTTTTCAGGGGTTCGAGCGCGTTATACCGAATATGGATTTTGGAAGGGGATAATAAAAGAGAATTTTTAAAAATATTTTTAGGAAAAAAGGCGAACAGGAAAGTCGTGAAATTGACCAATTTGAGGCCTTCTATGGGATATATGTGTTAGGGGTGGTTTTAGGGGTTCGAGCGCGTTATACCGAATATGGATTTTCGAAGGAGATAATAAAAGAAAATTTTTAAAAATATTTTTAGGAAAAAAGGCGAACAGGAAAATCGTGAAATTGACCAATTTGAGGCCTTCTATGGGATATATGTGTTATGGGGTCGATTTAGGGGTTCGAGCGCGTTATACCGAATATG